ATCTCAACTTTCTTACACTCCCGGTTCGTCTGAGCCGCGTTTGACCGCTCAGTTGGATGCTGCTAATGGTGAGATTGCGCAGCTAAGGACGGAACAAGCGGAGCTAAGGAGCACCAACAGCTACATTATGTCCCAATTAGGGACATTAACCAGTCTGTTTGACATCATTGCAGTGGATAACCTGACATTAGCAACTACCTTGCAAAACATGCCGCGTTCTCCGCCGCCTCCTCTCCCTACCGGTCCAACGCAGTTCGAGAAAGAATCCGAAGAGATGATTCGAGAAGATATCATCAACTTAAGGACCCAACGTCAGTAGATTATTGTTTTTATTTCATTTGTATCGGATAATTTAAATTTGCGTTTGTATTTTTTTAAAAATATTTTTAATTTTTCTACTTTTTTTACTAATATTTAAAAAAAAATCAATTATTTCGACGCTAAATTGCGTCGATTTAGCGTCGATATGTTGCATCGAAAGCGTGTCGATGCTAATTCGATGCTATATTAGCGTCGAATTAGCGTCGGCGTTTTACGTCGAAAATGCGAAGACGCTAAACCGACGCGAATTTGCATCATATTAGCATCGAATATTCGATACTAAATTAGCGTCGAATCTCGGAACGACGCAAATGTAGCGTCAAAAAAAATTTAGCGTCGAAATTCAATCTGACGCTAAGGGTTTTTAGCGTCGAATTAGCATCGAATTTTGCCGGCGCTAAATCTTTGTTTTCTTGTAGTGTTACCTACGGTATAGGTCGGGCTTCAAACTTTTCGATCATATCTTCATTGTCCCAAAGTAGTGCCACTACATATAGAGAAGTAATGCACTTTTGCTTATCACTTCCTAAAGTGATTTTGACAAGAACTTTGTTGCCAAGAAAATTGGTTAGAGACACAGGTAGAGAAGATGAAGTATCATACAAAAAAAAAGACAATTCAAAATATTATAGTGTAATAAACTAAAATTTGTGAATAAAAAATTAAGAATTATTAACGTACATATCCGTACTTAAAAACAATACCTGAAGAACTTCCATAATAAGTTTAGCAGAGGGTTTCTTGAGAAGTTTAGAGGCCACTTCATTGAAAAACATAAATTTTGCTTCGGCTTCTGATTCATCGGAGACACGTAAAACCAAGTAGTATCTACATCATAAAACATAAATAAGTATGGAAATGAGATTTCTAATAAAAAAAAGTTAAATATTATAAAAATTACTAAAGAAAATGGATATCTTACTTTGTAATAACATCTTCAACGTCACCACATATTTTCACAGTTGTATAGAAGTTTTGCATCCAGATCATTAGATTCTTCCACATATTCTTGAACCTTGTTGTTACATTTGCAAGAGAAATAATACCAGTTCTTTGCAACATCGATAGATTTAATTGTGGTACATTTAACACATGTCTCGGCCTGATAAAAGTGATTTTTATATTAGTAGATAATAGTTTTTATAAAATGTGTAGAATATATAAAAAAATCAAACGAAAACTCTTCGTACCTCATTGGATTTAATTATTCCTTTTAAAGTCATCCTAACATTTTTGAACACGAATTCATCCATGTATAAATATGGGTGAAACACACGACCAATTACTCTTATCATTATGCATGACAAGTTGATTGTCAGTTAATAACCTGTTATGAAAGAATTCATATTAACTAATACCACGTAAAATAATATTTTTAATAATGCCAACATTCGATATGGCCATGTCATGAATGAGCAAATTTTTTTAAAGAAAACCTAATTTGATTAATAGCATAATCGTGAAGGAACAAAACATTGTAAAATTGAAAATGAAGCATAATTAGATAAAAAATAATAAAAATATAAAATCGTCATACGAATAACAAACCTTTTCATTTACCAGTACTATTTCAATGAAATTTATTGTGGACATAAAGGATTTCCACAAGACAAGGATTTGAGCTTTGATTTTTTGGTTTTCAAAAGATATCAAAATATTCTGAAAGAGTACTATTGAAGAGTTTTGTTTTGCTATGATTGACATTATGATAGTTTTTGAGAAAACTGGCAGCGAGGTTTTGATCTATAAATTATTGTGTAGATCAATCATATATGTAGAGAGTTAGAAGAGGGTATATATATATTTTTTAATTATATATTATTCTACGATATGTATTAGAATATTCCATTTGGGCCCTAAAAATCCAAAAACGTATAAGTGATATTTTTGTTCTTAAAATTATATTAAAATAAGAAAAAAATAATTTGATATCAAAAAAAAAATAAATTTTAAGAAAAACAGAATGAATTTTTTTTGCAGCAAATCTCGTTTTTGTTATAAATGCATATTAAAAGATTATAATTT